AGGCCCCGGAGGTGGGGAGCAGGGAGGGCTGTCCCCACGCACCCGTCCCTTGCAGACCCCCTCAAGGGGCCTCAGCTTGGCTGTGCCCAGGCAGCTGCTAAGCTCATACCCGGTCTCTGCGGTTGATGTCGGCCCCACGGCGCACCAGGAGCTCCACCATATCCGGCTGATTGCGGAGCACCGCGATGTGCAAGGGGGTGTAGTAGGTGACTGGATCTGAGGACAAAAACACAGAGTTAGAAAGAACTAAGGGCTTCCCCAGAACAGCCCTGACACCTGCCAAAAATGGAAGGGGGCAGCTGGGAAGGGCCTTAACAACACAGCGATGCCCATGAAAACAGCGTGGTCAGACACCCCAGGTCCTGCTTTAGCAATGGCTCCCCCTCTGGCAGAAGCCCTCGAAGCTGCAAACTGGCCCCAAGCCCCTCACCACCCCCAGTCCATGCCTGCAGCTGGACAAGGGCTGCCACAAAGCACATCCACGCTATCCCAGTGGAGTGGGGAGCTGAGCTAGCAGCACCTCCTCTTTGTGCCCCAGCTATCACCACCTCCCAGGCCAGCTTCTCACCAGCTGGTTCCTCCTGGCCAGCCCGAGAAACAGACCCAGGCCCAGCCCCCTCCTCACCAGTGTTACCTTCAAAGCTGAGGTCAGCTCCGAACTCCAGAAGGATTTCTGCAGCAGGGACGAGCCCCAGCTCGGTGACTTTCAGCAGGGCATAGCTCACACCTTCCTGATAAAATGGGGAGTGGGTCTCCCTCTCCAAGACTCGTCTCACAGCTGAGAGCTGGCTCCTGTCACTGCCCAGACAGGCAGGGCTCAAGACACACAGAAACAACCAGTTACTCAGCTGAACAGCACATCCCTCAGGGGTGTTTGCAAGGGTCACAGTAGCACCGGGGAGGAAAAAAAAAAAAGCCCTGGTGTCTCCTCTTATCTTGTAACCACTGGGTCTCTAACCAGTCACCTGTGGGATTATGTAGCATCAGGGTCACAGCTGAACCCCAGTTTAGGTTTTATTGCCATAGATCAGGCAGAAAGGGCTGTTCCTGGGGAGTACACGCAGTCCCTGTATTTGCTCTGCTCCATCCCCATGTTCCCAAAGAAGAGCAAGAAGAGGGTCCATGGGATGAGCTGCTCGCCATCCATGATTGTTTTTTTTTTCCCAGGCAGTGCTGTGTCTGACCTCGGCTGCACCACTGGGCTCCAGCTATCATCTCCTAAAACACCAAGTGGGTGTTCAGCCCCAGACAGCCCTGCCTAGTTACCTCTCAAGGGTGCTCTGCTGTTCCGCATCCTCTATCACCAGCAGCCCCAAGATCTCGTCTACCAGGGGCTGATACTCGAAGATGATCCTGCGGAAGCCGTGCAGGAAAGGCATCGTGCTCTGCTCTGCACACAGACCGCCCAGGGGCCTCCAGCATGGCACTGGCGTCTTCCCCCACTCAGGACTCTGGCAGGCAGACCCCGGCGCTGCCTGGTTTCCAAAGGACTTTTCCCTCCTTTGAAAACAAACAAGCATTTCTAGATTTGCATTTAGAAAAAAAACCCGCAGCCTTCCTCCCTCCCTCCTCACGCATTTCTAAAAGGCCACGAAGACCCGCCCAAGGATCTCCTCCCACACACCGCGGCGATGTATTCGAGTTATCTCCCGCACGCAGAGCCGCGAACTGGAGTTATCCGGGCGCAGGGAGAAAACACGCCGGGCAGAGCCCAGGCTCGGGGCAGAGCCCAG